TAAAATGGCAGCACTTCCCCAAAGCCTGATTACTTTTATTTTTCTCTATTTTTCCACTTACTGCTTTTTAATAGACTTCTTTTTGTTTTGTTTTTTTTTTTCCAGTACTGGGGATCCAACTCACGACCTTGCGCTTGCTGGGCAGGCGCTGTGCCGCTGAGCTAAATCCCCAGTCCCACAGACTTCTAACTATTATTGTCTGACTCCTCTCTGCCTTCTCCCTCCATAAGGGTAACTACCTTGATCTGCTTCGCTTAGTCTTTTATGCCTAAGCCTAGAACCTGGTACATACACTGTATACCTAGTGCCTGGTACAGAGTAGCTTTGCAATGAATGATAACTCTTTTTAATGCCTTTCAGCAAAGGTGTATAATTTTTCAATGAAGGTCACATACAATTATTGTTTTCACTCATTCACTTGTTCAATAAATATTTGAGTGAAAATAATAGTTTATGTGACAATAATTGAAAAAATTATACAACCCTATTGAAAGGCATTTAAAAAGACTCAGTATCATGAAAATGAAATTTTCTTTCAAATTGATGTAAAGTTTACTGTAAAATTATTCAAAACTCTAAGAGGGGTGCGTGTATATTGGTGTGAAACTTTATAAGTGAATTCTAAAATTTATATGGAAATACAAATGGTCAAAATATCCAGATGTTCCTGAAGGGTGTTCAGATAAAGTGAGGAATTTGCCCTATGTAATTTTCCTACATTAGTATTCTATCGTTTTGGTGATTAAAACAATACGACGCTAGCACAGGGATTATCAAATTGATCAAAGGAATAAAAAAGAGAGCCTAGAAACAGACCAACAAATAAAAGGAAAACTGATTTAGAACTTTGCTCATACTACAACTCAGTGGAAAAGATTGAACTATTTCATAAACAGTACTGGAATAATTAGAGATTCATATGTAGAAAACAATTACATTGATTCTTTTTTTTTTTTGGTACTGGGAATCGAACTCAGGACCTTGCACTTGCCAGGCAGGCGCTTATGTCACTGAGCTATATCCCCAGTCCCATTGATTCTATAATACACAGCATACCTTCAAATTAGTTCCACATAGACAACAAACTTAGATATGAAATGGAAAACCTTTGCAAGAAAATGTAAAATAATATCTTCATGACCCCAGTGGAAGAAAAGATTGGTTAAATAAAACAGAGTAAAAACGATAAGGAAAACAGTGATAAAGTCAATGGCATTATGATATGTGCAATGTGCTATCCTGAAAAGGATCAATGTCTAGAATCTTTGAAGGATCAGTAAAATCAATATGGAAACTCAGACTATTAAAAAAAAAAAGTGAAGTTGGGAATGGTGACGTATGCCTATAATCTTAGCACTCTGAGAAGTGAGGCAGGAGAACTGAGTTTGAGCCCAGTCTGTGCAAATTTGTGACATTCTGTTTCAAAAATAACAAGGAATTGGGAGTGGGGATGTTGTCCAGTGTGAAGGCCTTGGCTTCAATCCTCAGTACCAGAAAAACAAAAACAAAAACAAAAAAAGTGGGCAGAAGAGTTGACTTTAGCACACACTAAACAAAAGTAATACAAATGCCACTAAATAAATAAAAAGATCTTCAATGTCATTAGTAATTAGGAAAAAGGAAACTAAACTGATGAAAAAACTCATCAGATTGGTAACCATAAGTTTGACACTATCAGGTGTTAGTGAGAATGTGGAGCAATAGGAGTGCAATGCTGTGGGTGGGAGTGTGGCTCAGCACGGCCATCTTGGAAAACAGTTTGACATTAACTTGTAAAGTTGATCATATGCATACTCCATGATCTGGCAAGTTTCTCCTATTTTATATTCTAAACAAACCTTTTCAAATTAGAACATAAAACAAAAATGTTCACAGCAGCTTTGCTTACAGTAACAAAACTGTAATAACCTGCAGCTAAATACAGCAACATAGGTTAGGTTTTAGAAATATAATGCTGAATTTAAAAAGAGTATTGGGGCTGGGGATTTAACTCAGCAGCACAGCACCTGCCTGGCAAGCGTGAGGTCGTGAGTTCGATTCCCGATACCAGGAAAAAAAAAAAAAAGTACTGCAGGAAACTCCTATAACATGATATTTATTTTTAGAAAGTTAAACACAACCACAACCACACAACACATTATTTAGGAACTATACAACCTGTGATAATTTATTTTTTAAAAGACAAAGTCATGCTAAAGCTGGGTGTGGTAGCACACACCTGTAATCCTAGCACTCAGGAGACTGAGGCAGGAGGACTGCTACAAGCTCAAGACCAGACTGGGCTACAAAGTGAGCTCAAGGCCAGCCTGAACTGCATAATGAGACCCTGTCTCAGAAAGACAAACAAAACAAAACAAAACAAAACAAAAAAACCCCATAAAAGTATTAGAAGAAACCATGAGATACAATAGCAATGAAATAATCTTGGGGTTAGGTTGTAGCTCAGTGGTAGAATGCTTGTCTAGCATGTAAAAATGGATTCACTGATCTGCAGAATCTAAAGAATAAGATAATATAATCTTGGAGCGGTAAAATCCTTTCTAAACATAATGAAAACCCGAGTACTTAAAAGATTGAGGGACTGGGCAAAGTTCATCAGAGACAAAGCTCAAAGGTAACAACCAAGTAGAAAACATATACCACTCACTGCCCTGGTTTCCCTCTTAAGTGCACCACAGCTTCTTCTCATTCTCCATTGCCTATTTCACATCTCCATGACCTCTGGATACCCCATGAGTCAGCATTTAGATCCCTACGGGATTTCTATCAATACTCATTCCCTTAGTGATTTCATTTAGTCAAACTTACACTGGGGTGGACCTTTCTGTTGGGAACCACACCTATGTCTTTAGCTTCTTTCTTATCTACCTGCATGCTTAGTAAGCATCTTAAATATAACACAATCCAAACCAAACTCTCAATCTTTCTCCCTGCAAACTTGCTCTGCCCCAAATCTCGGAAAACTTCAAGTTTCTCAGTGGATCAGATCTGAAACTCTGGGTGATGTCTTTGACTGGGAGCACTCTCCTTACTCCAAAATCCAGCCCTACCCATAACACCCCTCGTCTCAGCCTCCACGGTCTCTCGCTTGGGTTACTGCAGTGGCTTCCTAGCCTTCCTAACTCACCTCCCTGCTTCAAACAAGGTCATCAGCAATACAGGAGCTAGAGTGGTCCTGCTAAAATGTGTCAGATATTATCATTCTCAAAATCCTCCATGACTTCCATGTTCTTCAACATAAAAGTGAAAGTTCCTGTAGTTTCCCCACACACAGCTCACATGCAGCCTACAAGGCCCTGCATGGCCCAGCCTTCCTCCTGCCCCACCCTCACTTCTGATGGCATCTCATCTGTCCCTGGGACTCCAGTCACACCAGACACACTCATGCAGAGAACATTCTTCCAATAGATACACAGATGACTTGCTCTTTTACGTCATTCAGATCTTGGCTCAAATGTCTTTTCATTGAAGCCTTAAACCCGCTAACATTGCAAAACCCTATTCCTACGCACTCCTTGACCTTCCTGATAGCTTCATTTTCTCCTTCATGCCACTACTATCTAACACGCCATATGTTTTGTCCACTTAGCATATGTCTGTCTCCCTTTACCAGACTGTAAACCCAGGAATACAAGTCCTTATATCTATTTTGCTCACTGCTTAATCTGTAGCATATAGGAGAGAGCCTAGCACAGAAGAAAAGGTAAAAAATTATTGAACAAAGAAACAAAATACTTAATTGGTCAGAGTATGGGGAACACACATTCTAAAAACTGCTGGTGTGAATGCAATTGGTATAACCTCTACAGAGGGCAAACTAGCAATAACTGCCAAATTACAAGTGCATATATCCTTTGACCAGCAATTCTCCTTTTAATAATATCTTTCATATAAATTTACAGATGTGTGAAATGACATATGGACCAAATAATTCAGTGCAGCACTTTTTTATCCCTGAAAACAGCCTGAATGTGCAGCAATAGCAGAGCATTTAAAGAAATTATGATGCAGCCATACAATGGAATCTTTTGCAGTAGCAAAAAAGAACAAGGAGATTTCTGTCGGGATATAAGCCCAGATATATTTTTCAGAGAAAAAGGTGCTGAAAATGTATTTGGTTTGTCATCAGTTTTATAAAACTAAGGGGAAAGGTGCAAAAAGAATGCACTGTAGGTCTTTATTTTCTTGTACATGCAAGGATTATTTCAGGGAGGATACACAAGAAAATTGTAGCAATGGTTTCTTATTTGGAGGGGAAAAGATGGGCAGGAAGCGGAGTAGAAGACATTTCCTATAAACCCTTTCAAACATCTTGCAATTTTACATTTTGTGAATGTTTTCTCTATCTGTTAAAAGGAGAATAAGGTATGGCTTATGCTCCCATATGGAATGATATTTAAGATATATTGTTGCCCAAAAAGTAAGGTGCAAAGGAGTGTGTAGGGTATGCTAGCCATGGGGAAGGCAGGCTGACTTTTCCATTTTACACTTTTCTACCTTTTGAGTTTTATACTTTATGCACTTTCTACAAAAATCCTTTTTAAAAGAAAAGGATGAGCTAGTGCATTTCCACATGTGTCAGCTTGCCAGGACTGAAACCTGACAAGTGTCCCCTGTTTCTCCAGTGATGGCAACAGATGTCCAGAGAAGTCAAAGTGCACAGAGGTACCAGGGCCAGGTTCTTGCTGACAGCCGCTGCTCCTGGACTCTCTGCAGCCTTCCCTGGGTGCTGGTCCACCTCCTCCCTTCCTGTCCCTGTGCTTGACCTCACCTCCTACAGCCCCCTGGCCTTCCCGGGCTCCTTTGCCTGGTAGTCAGGGTAGCAGCTCAAGCAAGCTTGCTACCAGGGGCTTTGCTCAGGGGCCCTGGCTGGTGCCCCCCCGGGTCCCAGGCAGCTTCTCTCCGGGCTGCTGTGCTCCTCCCTCAAGCCCCCTTGGTCCAAGGGTGAACACAGTCCCCCTCCCGGCCTGGCCTCTCCAGGCCCCTCCCTAAGCCTGTACCTGTCAATAATGACCGGATCTGAGGGCGTCTCATTCCGGTTGCCACAGCTCTTCCGGTCACAGCACCGGCTGAAGGAAAGATGAGGAGGGAGGAGGGGGAAGAAGCAGTGAGAAGGAGAGGTTACTGGGTGTGTGGGCTGCCCCTGGTGGGGTACCAAGGTCCTGGCTCTCGGTGTGGGATCCCTGGGTGCGGGGACTCATTCCCAGGGGCCTAGAGGGAGGGTCAGGCAGTGAGAGTCCTCAGCAGGGATCTTGGCAGCCCAGTCCTAGGGGTAAGGCTGGGCAGGAAACCCTTGTCCCCAAAGGACATTGCTTCCGGAGGACCCCTGATAGGGCAGGTGGTCGGCCACCTACAAGGTCTCCTGCTGTGCACTCTGTGGAAGCATTGTCTACACAAAGAAAAAGCTCAAATTGGGAGCATGCAGCTCATAAATGATCCTGCATAAACCTGCCCTTGGAACTAGCTTTCAGACCAAGAAATATTACAGGACCAGCACCTTAAAAGCCTTTGCACATCACTCCTTTCCCCAAAAGTGGCCACCATCCCAACCTCACAGTTTGGAACACTATTCTCTTTCCCACACACAGGAGCTGTCCTACAGGAGAACTCTGTGTGACAGGCATCTTCTAGGGACATCTTGCTAGAAATGCAAATGCAGGGGCAACAGAGAAGAGGAGACTGTGCCTGCCCTGAGGTTCCCGCGGAGGCAACAGTTTCCTCCTTCCTGCCTCAGAGCTAATCTCTGAGGCCTGACGCTGCCCAGCCAGACCTTGCCCCCACTTCCCCAGTGAGCCCTTCCCCCGAGCTTTATTAGCTAAGCTTCCAGCAGCAGGAGGCTTCTCTTACAAAAACACGCAGCGAAACCACATAAACAGGCCTGGCTAATGGGGCCTCAAGGACCCTCTCCTCAGCCAGCACTGCGCCCAGGAGCCTCACCCTCCCCTCCCTGAGCTTCCCTTGGGATCAGGGGTACTGTGAAGGGGAGTGGCGGGGGAAGGAGGCAAGGCCTGATGGGAGGCCCTGGCAACATCTTGTCAAAGGGGCAACGTGCAGGTGACGCGGCCCATCTCACCTGCACATAATCTCGTGGGTGAGCAGCACTCGGCACATTTCTGGGTTCTTGTCCTGCCCTTCGTAGATGATGGCCTGGGGGAGGGGAAGTGCGCAGGCTGGAGAGGGAGGAAGTTCCTCTCAAGTTCAGGAGGGTGCAGAGGTGGGCCTGTGGGTCTACACTGGCATCTCCCTGGCCCATGTGGAGGAGAGATCCTGCCCCCAGAGAAGATCATGTCCTCTGCACTGCTTTAGGGGAGCCCAGGGATGTAAAGCAGGACCTTGGAGAACACTGGCCCCCCAGTCAGGACCACCACAGGGCATGGGGGGTAAGGTCTGTAGATTTTCTTTGTCTGCAGACAGTGCTTTCTTAAACTAGCTCTGCTTGCGGGGGCGGGGTCCCCAGACAACTAAGAACAAGGTCAGGCGGCAGGGGGCACATTCACTATCCCTACCCTGAGGGTGCTCCTCCCCTCACCCCGGCATCCTCTCTGTGCAGGTGTTCCCATGCTCCCTGTGGCCTTCTGCCCTCGCTCCTAAGCGCTGCCCTCTCAGCCATCCCTGCCACCTGAGCAAGCCCAAGGGCAGCACAGCGGTCCCTTTGCTTATCCCTAGCACCTCCCCAGCCTCCTAGCCCCTCTGCTCCCTGAGCAGGGAGGGAGCTCCCTAAATTGCAAATCTGGCTTCCCAGTCAGTCTATAACACTCTGGGCCTCCCACCTTTCCTCCATTTGTGGGGTCCCTTTTTGAACCCCTTCTTCTCGCATCCCTCACACAGTCCCCTTTGTCCCTGCCTGGCCTGCTTCCCCCACCACAGTGATCA